GAGAGGGGGGGGCAGGTAGACTAAAAATTCCAGGAAATTATGCATTCCAAAATCAGCCAACCAACTTTAATGTACATTTTATGTACTTTCCCTTTTTATTCCAATTTACTTTCAAGAAAACAGTATCTCAAAGACAGCATATTTTAATGAACTGTAGTAAGTCCTAAATTAATTGTTTCAATGGCATAATGTTCTTGCCTGTCCAGTTGCCTAAAGCTCAGAGATGGGGAGAGTGCATGGGCGCGCTTCATCACTGTTATTTCATTTTCTGACATTTCCTAAGGACAGTTCTTCAGCACATGAATTTGGTCCAGCACCACTACTCAAAAGCAGAAGACAGCTACCCTGAAACGCTTATCCATGGCTTCTCCAAAATTCTCCCACCACAAAAATCTTCGCTGTCCACCACGTACCCGTGGTGGGTCCATTCATGTTCAGTTTTGCTCTAGACAGTGTCTGCAGTGCAGAGGACTGAAGACAGAAAAAGAGCAGTGTACTTCTACAGCGATCTATGGCAACCCATTTAAACTCTTCAAGAGGCTCTTTCCCAGCAAAGTCATTACCAAGTGACCCTCTGCTGTTCCTGGTTGCTTCTCACTGCCTAGGGTCTTCCTTTTGTGCAGCCAGTGGGGCTCCTAACTGTGACCTGATATTTCCTGAGCTTGGTTCCTGGACTGCCTGTGACACAATAACTCATGGAGGGAGGGAGTTGCTGGCATCAACAGATATTTAGACCCCACTGAGAAATTCTGGGAAGGGTGTGTTTCAGGGGTCTCCTCCTTCTCTCTGTCTCTCTCTCTCTCTCTCTCTCTCTCTCATACAACAACCCAGGATATTTTTATGCACATTAAAAATTTGAGACATTGAGTCAAATAGAAGTACTCTTGACAGTTAGCAACAACCTTCTAAGTACCTGGCCTTTATCCACTGAATTTTCTCTACAACAAGAGCTTCTGACTTCGCTGCTATGAAATGAAGGCATTTCTTTTTTCTCCCTTACCCCTCAATCTGCACCCCAAATGCTAATCATCCATCTTTCCTCTTATCATATACAGCACATTTTCTTTTTGTCTTGGCTTCAGTTTGGTGAGTCTTGGCAGTGTGCTGTCAAACGTCCTCACTTCCACCATGCTACCTGATTGGGATTTATCACACAGTATGTCCCAAGAATAAGTACCTCTTCCCCGCAAATATCGCCAGCTTCAAATAAATGTACTTATGCATTCATTTATTCAACATTATTTATTGAGACCTATTTTTTCCTAGAACGCAGTGATACGGTGATGAGGAAAGAGACAGACGTACCTGATCTTGTGGCCCTTACACTCTGCCAGGGCAAAGGCTAGGGCAGCAAAGTAAAAATATTAAACAATTATCCACACGATAGTAAGTAAGAAGGGTGGCAATTGCAGGAAACAATAAGAACTAGCCATTTTCTAGCAAAAATACATCAGAAATAATGGTGTGGCTTCCTTGATCCATCAGGGAACATATGTCATGGATTTGTCTGATTATTGTAGACATTAACATCCACCATTTATTTAAGTCACATATATCATTGTTTTCTCCTGTAAAGATACTATTTTCCACCTGCCACACAAGGTCCTCAGTTTGATCCCTGGTGCCCCCCCAAAAAGATACTGTTTTTCTCAGTGCAATCAAAAAGTATTTTGCATATGGTTATTTGGAGACTATGCAAATATTCTGTTGCCCAATAATTTTCACAACTAAAGATGATCTTTGCCTGAAACAACTATCATTGTGATGCTTGAAAATGATTTGTCTATTTTAATCATTCCAGGCAGATTTATTAGATTAGTTAGGATTTATGACAAAAAGTTGTTTTATTTTTACATAAAATTTCAAAAATCTCAAATGGTCTTATCCCCCCACACACACACACATCAAAGTCTGAGATCAAAGCCAGGGCCTTGCACAGGCTGGGTAAGCACTCTACCACTGAGCTGCACACCCAGCCCCAATCTTTTTCTATGGTATCTAGATTCCTTATCATTCATTCAAAACTATTATAACAACAACAAAAAATAAACATGTCCAGCCTCTTTTCATCTATGATTAGACAATTTTGGATAAATAGCTTTGACCCATATGTAACTTATTTTTATGTTAGGATCAATACAAAAATGGTCTCTTTTTAGCAATAGGCAAAATGGCTTCCAGTTGAGCCTCCTCAAATATTTTAACTTCCCATTTATTTCTCAACTCTGGCTAAGAAGGTGATATTCACTCAAAATGGGCCCTTGGTTCATATTTGTAAATTGAAATAG